TACCTGATCTGGCATACATGTGACTCCACACCCACAATGTGGTTGACTCTTAAATTGCCCTCTGGGCAATTAGGGATGGGCAATCAATGCTGCCAAGCCAGCGACGCTCTCATCTTGTGAATGATTAAAACAAAATAGCTGCTGAGAATGGAACCCATGTTTCAGGGAAGGACGGTTGTCAAAATTTAAGAAGTCATAAAACATCTAAAGCAACCTTGTTACAGGGAAACCATTAGATTATTCTCAAAGGATGAAGAGGACTGTGTTTACTTATTGATCATAGTGCTCTAAAGCAATGCATTTTAAATGCAAAAGGCTGATTTAAATTTAGGTCCCTTCAAATTATAGACTTGCCAAATACAATGGCCATAGTGGCCATATGTATATTAAAAAAAAGAGCATGAATTTATTCCTGATAAATCAGCTGAGGAACTCAGAGGCTTCATTCTAGTATGAACTAGCATTGCTTTGCTGCAAGAAAAGTGCAAACACAAAGGATTATAATAAAACATGATGAATGGAGGACAAAAGCAAGAAATGAACCACAGGATAGAGATGGACAGGAACTAATGGATTTTTATACTATTGCTGTGAAAATTGTAAGTCTCTCTAAAAATAGAAACAAACATAATTAGCATACTAAACAAAAACAGAAAATAGCTATCTTATGCAGCATCCAATATAGCTATGAAGTTAAATAAAGCATGTATAATATTTCCTATCACACCAAGTTTGGGTTACATAATATGTACATTTGGTTAAATGAAAACTGAAAAATTTAGCAAAGGTCTTGAATAACTGTCCACCTGAACCTTTTGTCTAATCCTGAGAATTCACCTTGTCCATGTATGTCAATTGATGCGAATATTTAATTACTGGTTCTAACATTTAATTACTGCAAACGCTGTTAAAGTAGGTTATTTTAATATAATTATTTAAGTCTAGACAGTGATTTAGTAGGACAACATAAGTAGTTCTGATGTAAAATCATGCAGGATCTACAACAGTCCACTGCATGACAGTAACTTGTTGTTGATTCAGAGGCCACATAATCATAAATGTAAAATTAGCAGTAGAAATCTCATAACATCAAATGTAGAGTAGAGAATTAAATTCCATGTAGAGTTACCATTTACCACACAAACAGTATGTTTTTTGGCTAAGATGCTGCAAATATTCTATAAGTATAGTTGCAAATCAGAAAATGCACCATCACCAGTTTAAAAAGAAGATTATTTTAAAATAAACAGCACAGCAACATCTTGGATGCAGGCAAACACACATTAAATCAGAACATAGTTATTTAAAATAACAAATTGCTATAATGCAAAATAAATAGTTAATATACAACTCTTAAAAATGTTCAAAACTGAGACAAATCAAATGAAATATTTGCAGGAGTACCTGGATCTCTTCCACCTGCTGCTTCAACTCTTCCACCAGTTTTTCCCTTTCGATATTCTTCTCTTGGGAGTTATTCAGTGCTTGTTTGGTTTTCTCTAGGTCTTGAGTAAGCTCTTTCACTAGAGTATCATTTTTTGCATTTATTTCTGAAAGGACTGTCTCATGAGTAATTTGCAGCTCCTTGTTGTGTGCACTGTGAGTCTCCACCTGCGTTTGCTGTGGGAATCAACAAAATCAGAACGCCTACAACTTTCATCCAATTAATAATGTAGCATAAAATCTGAAAACAAATTTATAACTTTTCTACATATATAAGGGAACATATCTTAAAAATTATGAATTTACAAAAATATCTATTCTTGAAGTGGAAAAGGCAGTATAGAAGGAAATTAAGATGCCATTTCTGCAAATGTTGAGAAAATCCCAAAATGTAAAACAGGGAAACAAATTTGCCAGTATGTGCTTTTTTTTTAAAAATACGTTTTTCTGATTATTTACATCTAAAATAAATTTATAACACAGCACATTGGAGATGAAATACGTAATAGCACTAGCATCACATTCCAATCAATTAATCACCAATTCATAGGGCATCGAATCATTTTTTATTTACGCATGATACATTTGAATTGCATACATTTAAAAATTAATTATACAATCAAAACAATAAACTAATGATGAAATTGGTTAACTTGTATTAAGTAGGTATTCAAATTGCTGCACGTACAAAGCTTTCTTTTTCAGAAGGGTTTAAAATTTCTTTGTCATTAGAAGTTTAATCAAAGCCAGAATTGGGGGGCGGAGAAAGAAAACAACTGAATGGTCATTCATACCAGGTCTGTTATTTTTTCCAACATTGCTTTAAGTTCAAGCTGATGTTTCTGCTGCTCCTCCTGCTGAGTCTGTTCTGATTTACATGCAAGTTGCTCCAAATTTTCCTGTAAACTAGCAATCTTTTCATTGGATTGATGATACAGAGCTTGTAATTCCTCTCGTTTCCTAAAGAGGAAAGAAACGGCTATTACTTAATCTTTAAATATATAGAGAAATAAAAATGTCCAAAAAGAGACCGAAAAACCATTAATAATTTGGAATCATTGAATCCCTACAGTGTGGAAAGTGTATTGTTTGTCTGCTGCAACTTGCAGTTAAACAGGATTCATTGTACTGTTTTCTATTAGCCTACATTCTAATATCTGAAAGAAAATCTTATTGATTGTGAACCGGTTTCTCTGTAACTTTATAAATAACTTTTATTAAGAGACAAAAATCAGTTTTGGACTTGGTAAATCATGAGTAAATAACTTGTTCGCTAACAACAAACATTTGATAGTTGCACACAAGCAATGTTTAACAAGGTACCTTTCTTTCTCTTTCAACTCTTCATTCATCTTTGTGAGCTGTGCAGAGTTATCCCCTGAAGATTTCATCATTTCAGAGATGGTATTTTCAAGTTTGGATTTATCTCGAGTCAACTGCTCTGCCTTTTCCTCTTCAACTTTCATTTTTCTCTCCAGAGCTGATAAAAGCAGAAGCCAACAACAAGACAATATAAACAGCAAAAATAAAGCAAAGCAGAAGAAGTGCTGCAAAGAAAGTCATAAAAATCTTTCAAACTTTGAAATACCTCAAAAAGTCTCAAATGTGTAAATATTTTCAGAAAAGGTTAGACTTTCAAAAATGGTACATTTGTTCAATTCAGGAGATAGCAATTGCAATTATGGATTTTTGGAGATAGTGCCTAAAAAGACAATGATTGCAGCAACTGAACCTTTAAAAGCCAAGTTCTCCTCAATAGTTCCACCGCTTCCACAACATATGGCTCAACCAAAATGCTACAACTCACGAAGTAAACTAAATCCCATAATACTGTCACCTCAGTCCTTGGCTGAACTATTCTGGTCTCAATGACTTTTTCAATTGATAAATTGTCCTGCTTGTTTAAAATCCTTCAATGCCTTATATTCTATCCCACCTTGGTGGTCTCCCAGCCTTTAGGTCACACACCATCTTTTCTTTCTTATTTTCAGTGGTAACTGCAAGTAATTATGCTACAATCCTCTGGATCTTGAAATTTCCTGTTTTCAAAAGCATCCTAAATATGCCTCTTCTCAAAATCTTTCCATTTCCCTTCTCCTTCCTTTTCAGAGTTTACATTTGCTTCCTCCTGATAAAGTGCTTAGTTCAGCCACTCTCGAATCCAACTTGTCAAGTTGAAATGAGACAAATAATTTCAAGATCTCATTATTACGGAGGTTCCCTAATAGTACCAGATATGGCATGGTGGACTGTGCAGTGGTTTCACACTGAAATCACAGCATGAACTAATAGCAAGGCTGAGAGATTACTCCTACAATGAATTAGCATATTCAGTCATTTAGGCGCATGGACACGGTTCATAGTTGGGATGCTTTGATAAAGCACCGAAACAGCTCTAAATTGGATCTGGGGAAACCGGAAACTAATTGATCTCCCAAAAGGTTCTACCAGTTAAAAGCACAGAAGATAATGATTGATGTTGGTAAATGGTTTCATGATCCCTGGAACATAGGTAGAAAGAAGTAATGCCTTCCTTGATGTGCAATTTTTTTTTGTACAAATTACACAAGAAAAAGAAAACTTTTGAAATTTAGTTTTAGTGAATTCACAAATTGCTCACCAGAGAGCTGAGATTTTAGCTCTAATAATTCAGCAGAAAGTGACGTGTTCTGTTCTTCTTTCACATTCAATTCTGCAAGTGTTTCTAATTATGAAAATGAAACGTCAAGAATATATTTTAATTTACTTAAGATCATGGGATAAAAGCTTTAAAAATATGAAGAGTATTTTTGCCCCAAGCATCAAAGAATGGTTATTACCCTTTCAAAAGTATTCAATGATTACAACCATATCAGGTTTCCAAACACTTTGCTTATTCATGCTGGAGGATAGTTTTTTGATGCAAACACCCCCTCAACTGGCCATCTTCACGTGTTAACCTGCACAACTAAGGTTAGTAGGATGGTCAATTACAAGGATTCATCCCAGAACGAGTCAAACATTATGTTAATGCCCACACATTTCAAGATGCAGCGACTGATTGACGATCAGCGACTGGAATCCTCTCTATGCCCTACTCCCAAACAAAGAATCACGAACACGTAAACACAAGCCCTAAAAACCTGCAAAAGCTGAAGTGTCTAATCTAGCATCTCTGTTTACCTACTACAGTCAGCAATCCTTTCAAATAATTATATATTTTTCTTTTAAAAATAAGTGCTCGATTTCAAAAATGATTTGTGGCACAGAATTTCACATTCTCACCATCCCCTTACACAAATAGGGTTTTCAAATTACCACATTAATTCTTTTTGTTCCAGTTTGTTAATGCCACACAAACCACAACAACCAACTTAATCACAATCCTTCAGCAACACGAAAATCTCTATGAAATAGGCCCTTCACCTTTTCAGCAGTTATTTAAAGAAAGTAGTAATTTTTCAAGTCTCTCCTAATAACTGCAACTATTCATTCCAGATTACATCCTCTTGAACATAGCGGACCTTTTCTATCGCTTTTACATCTTTCCCACAATGGTGTCCAAAACTGCAAACAATATTACAACATCAGCTGAACCAAAACCATGAATGTTTAACTTTGACTTTGTGTTTCATATCTCAACATGAAGCAATTATTCGGTTTTCATTTTAGCGGCTTTAGATTCTTTTATATTGGCTATCTGCTAATGGTTTATGTAACTTAAGGCCACCTCTGATCACTTCCTTATGTCACTCACTGCCCACACACACACATTTTTGTTACAACTGCATTTATTCTTGCAAAACAACTCTTTCCCAGTACACTCACACCTGCATTTTCAAAATCCCAAATGTCGTCTTCAGCCTTTCATTCATCGTACCATTGCACTAGCTACCAACCTGCTCAATTACATCATTAGTTTGATTTCCAATGCCCTAGTCACCATGCAAACCAATGTCGCATCCTGGTCATTCTTCTGGGATGGTCCTCATCTGTGCTCCCTCAAATCGAAAGGATGAAGACTTGAATTGATATGATGGACAAGTGGATTAGCCAGTCACTGTCAGATCTGGCTGGATCACAAATGCTATGAGATAATGTCCTCTTCTGCAAAAACCGTTCACCATTTAAGGCCACTGTAGAATGTGAAGATAACCTCTGGTTTCTTTTCTCCATTAAGATCTTCTTAACCTTTCTCCTCCATCCTCAGCTCCAACAATGTGCAGAAGCTCTTGGATTTCTTGGTCACTAAAAATGAGTCATCCAATTAGCTGCTTCTGACACTCCCCTCCTTAATCAGGCCTCTAAGAATCCCCGAGCTGCCATCCCCAAACCAACTCCACCCTGGCCCGAGTTTGCATTTTTGTGTGGTTTTCCTTCTTTCCACTTTCACATGATATCACTTGAAATTTCCACATACACTCTGATGACACACAGCTTTACCTCACCACCACCTCTCTTGGCACCTCCACTGTCTCTAAACTGTGTGACTGCTCATTAAATATCAAGCAATGGTCGAGCAAAAGTTTCAAACTAAATATTGGAAAGACCCAAGACATTGGTTTTGGTCAACATGACAAATCTTGCCAGTAATTCCATATTTCTTCCAGGTAACTGCCTGAGGCTAAGTCAGGCATTTTGCAAGTCGTCATTACATATCTGACTCCAAGTTGAGCTGCTTACCATATACCCATACCATCATAGAGGCCGCCTATTTCCACCTTTGTAAGATGTCCAATTCCAACTAGCCTCATCTCAGTGGCTAAAACTCTCAACTATGTTTTAACAATGACTAGACTTGATTATCTCAATGCACTCTTAGCTGACTTCCTAAATTCTACCCTCCCTATGCTTTATAGAATCTTAATTGTTACAGTACAGAATGGCATTCAAGCCTTTGTCCAAATGAGCTATTCACCTACTGCCATTCCCTAGCTCCTCCCTCTAGAGCAACAGCTTCCTGTACAGGTAATAATCCATATTCTTTCTGAATGCCTCGACTCAACTTGCCTCCACCATTGGGGACGCCTTCAGCAGCCAAAGCCCTATACTCGAACTCCCTCCTCTAGACTTTGTTCCTCTTTCTTCTTTTAAGACACTGCTTAAAACTTACCTCATTGATCAAGGTTTTGTTCATCTGCCCTGACAACATGGTCTGGGGATGTCAAATTTTATTTGATAGTGCTCAGTGATGTGACTTGTGAAGCTTTAGTGTGCTCTAAGCTACAAAAAGTTGTTGCGACGTATAAAGTCTTTCTACTCACCTTCGATAATGATATCATACTTTGCACACATCCCGATGCTTTTCTTCCAAAAAGAAATTCATGTCTTCCGCCCTAAACTTCATTTACCATCTCTCTGACCATCCTGCTAGCATTTCCTACCCTGAAGTCTTTTGTAATCTTCATCTCTATTAATTGCATCTTAAAATCCAATGACATGGGGAAATCTTGATAGTATTCCACTAACTCCCAACATCTCATACAAAGTATCCTCAATACAGATTCCTGTGGAACTTGCCACATCTTTCCAGCTGAGAGATGTTCATTCAACACAACTGTCCACTTTTTGTCCTCCAACCATCTTTTTATTCATCTGACCGCATTATCCTTAATTCCACACATTATCTTTGCTGCAAACATCTTACACCCTTAGCATATTTAACCAGGGAAACTCTTTACGGTACTTGAGTAAATTTAACTGACCTTGCATAGTCTGCTGTAGTTTTTGCTGTGTCTCCGATGTGCTGTCAAGCTTTTCGTTCTGAAAGTAAGCACACTACTTTTAAAAGTTTCAAGTCATTTCATCCCAGGTTAAAAAATTAGTACTTCCTCAATGCTCAAGGTTATAAATGTACAATAGTCACGTACAATAGTATTAAATATAGGGACACTGCAATAATCACAATAAATGTGTTTTTAGGCACCACAAAATATCAGAAGACCCAGGAAGCATTGTCACTTATTTGGATAACATACTTTTGTTAATGCGAGCTTATTAATTTTTGTTAATAACCTTTTTTACCACTTACCACAGCCCTTACATTCCAAGGAAAGAAAAGAACAACATATTATAGTAATAGGATTTTGTAAATAAGACAAATTCTATTCAGGAAATTTATAATCGCAAAAATTCAGTCTCAGATATTGTTAAAGACTGATGAAAAATAACAGCTACTAAACTACTGGCATTATCTTGTGGGTTTCAATAAACATATATACATAAACACTCAAACATGATCATGAACAGTAACTAACCAAGTATTGAGTGTTCTAATTATTTGATGAGACGAACAGTTGAAAGATTTCAGCTGATGAAAATTCATATTTTGCAAGGCACCTACCTTTTTTTTTTTTATTATAAACAGTGCCTTATTCCTATCTCAAACAGACTTTGCCATACAGAAGATGAAACACAATGAGCCACTCACCACGGATTGCAGTTGCTGTTCCAAAATTTGTTTATCCTGACTCACTACAGCCAGATTTTTCTCCAAATCAATAACTGCCTGAGCTTGTTCCTCAAGCTGTTTGGTCAAGTCAGTAACCTAATAAAAGCATGCAAATTCATTGCAAAAATAAAAAGCAAAATGGATGAATGTCCCGAAACAGCAGAAATCAAGAATAAACTCAAAAGACACACAATACAAATTTAAAGCTACAACATACAAAATAATTCATTAAAATTTTAACAGAGCTCAACGTGAATTTTCCAAACGTGACTAAAACAATACATGAACAGAAACATAGATATACATATATTACTTGTTGTGTATTATAAATTTCGGTTTTTGAGCCTCAACAGTATTAGTAATAACTGAGGCAGGTTGGTTAGCTCCTATGTAACATTTAAGAATGATGGAGGTTGGTCAACAAAGAAATTAGTGCTGGGTATATGTTCAAGACTGATTTCTCTCTTCAGTTATGTTTATATATTCTTCTTATAAAACATTTAACTTGTCTCTTATTGAGGATCAACCAATATTTATTTTGAATATTGCAGCTTTAATTTAGTACTTTAGCAGAATAAACTAATATAAATGTAGAAATGTTATCTTTGTTTTAATCAAAATTGACAATGTAGATAAATCAATAAATAACATGCAAGCATATGGATGAAAAAAATTTGGCAAAGAGTCAAAGTCTACTGCAGCATAATTATTCACTGACATGGTTAAAATACAACAATCTGCATCTGAAAACACCTCATCCCTCCAAATTTAGAACTCTCAGCAAAATTACGGCCCACTCATATTTCTCTATGTTCTACTTAACAGACAATTATGTAGTAAGAATTGAATGGTGCTAGTCAAATATTAACCAACATAAAAATTCACCTAAATTAGTTATTCTGCTGTTCAGCTAATACAGATGCACGTTTATTCTGGAAACTGCAAAACGTACACTGAAACGAAGACAACTTTTAGTTTTAGTTTGTACAAGACAGTGAAATCAATATTTAATATTTTCCATGCTGTACTAATATATATCATTTAGATTATTTTTGAATAATAATTCAAAGGCAAAATATATGCAGATATTCAAATACTGCCATTGTTAAAGGTAAAGAAAAGTCTTCAAATGTACAGTAGTGGTCATGCATTTCAAGTGCCGATATTACAGTAGTCATTGTTGAGAATTTGGGAATAGTTTACGTTTACCTTATCGATACATGCGCCTATACCTATAGCAACATTCAGCTATCAAAAAAAGCAGTTTTTATTAAAGAAAAAGAAATGCAGCTTCTAAATTTACCGTGATATCAATTATGTTGTTACAGGAACATAAGTTCAATGTTTATTTAAATCAAACATTATGTAATATCAAAACTATTTTTCACCTGGGTGTTATACAGTACTTTACCACAGCAATGCACTTCCCATGCTTCAAGATCACATGAAAATTTCTATAATACTCCTTTATAAAAAGGATCAGTATTCAGAACAGCCTACATCAGAGCAAAAGACTTTGCAACTATCAATGATGCCATACCTTTCCTAGGCTATACTGATTCTCAAAAAATTGACTTCTGTTATGTAAAACACATACAATAATGTACTAGATATGCTCAAGACTCACATTCCAATGTCAAAAATACTTATTACACATGATAATCAAGGGCTATAGAAACAGGTGGACATGATATCGATCTTGAAAAAAATTTATAAATTCATCACTTCATTTTCTTCCTACAGAAATTTTACAACTTAATATTCTTAAGAAAAATGGGACAGACCGATTTCATAATACTTTCCCAGTCAGATCCACTTGTCTAAAATGCCTGTTCCCTTGTAAAAGCGACTGTCAAAATTACTGAAACGGGAAAAAACACTCGATTCTTTTAAAGTCATGGATCTGAATCGTGAGAGTTGCAGGTCTTTTTTTTAATGACTTAGAAACAAAAGTTCATAAATCAAATTGAACAAAAAAGGTTAGCATTGATATTGTATTTATTTTTTATTTTTGAAGATAATGGACATTAAAGTTTTTATTTGCAAGAGCACCTCTTTCAAATTTCACAAAATGAACTCCAAATATTAAACCAAAAGAAACTTACCACAACTTCCTATCACCCTGTTAATTAATTTTATGGATGTTTTGTGATTAAATATGCTCAATTTTAAAACGGGATGAGAAATGGAAAATAAAATAAATTGATGGAAAATTACACAAACCTTGCTACCTTCAGAAAGTTTTAAAGCTTCACTGCTTTTCCTTTGTGACTCAATGACCATAAGCTTCTCTTCAAGCCTTCTGATTTCCTCTTTACCTTGAGATGCAGCTTCTTGCAGCAATTCATATCCTAACACTTTTTCTTCAGCCATTGTCACTTTAGCTATTAGGGCTTCAATGATTTGGGCCTGTTCATTACACCTATCCTGCAACACTTGCAGCTCCTTTACCTTCAGTTGAGTGTCTTGTAACTTTGCCAAGGTCTCTTCCATCTCTTCCAGGTGTTGATTTGTTGCAGATTCCAACTGCGACTTCAGAATTTCTGTATCTTTCTCGTTCTCTGTAGTAACTGCTAATAGTTGCGATTTTAGTTCTTCTATCTTTTTTAGGTAATTAGACTTTTCAAAATCTTGTTTAATTTTAATATTCTCAAGTTCCATTTGATGCTCAGTTTTAAGCTTTTCTAAGGTACTTCTCAACTCTAGGAGCTCTGTAGTTTGGGCACCTGCTCCTTTACTGAAAGACAAGTTGAGTTCTTCCATAGCTTGCTGATGAGATTCAATTGCAGACTCGAGCTTACATTTCCACAGATTAATAACCTCTGAATTTTCAATATTGGCTTGATCCAATTTGGATTTAAGAATTTCATTCTCCTTGGATATTTTTCCACTGTCAGCTTGCAGTTGTTTAACAATCTTTTGGTGGGCTGCTTCTGATGCTTCAAATTTTTCTTTGAACGCATCAAGTTCATTTTGATGCTCTGTGCTCATCGTTGTTAGCTTATCTCGCATACAGTTGAGTTCTTCCAAGAGAGGAGAGGTACCGTCCACACTACCTGAGCCTCCAGTGCTCATTAGTCTACGTTGAAGTTCTGAAACTTCTTTTGTGCGTGACAGAAGATCCCTTTCCAACTCCATAATCCTTGACTTCTCAGATACTGTGGCCACCTATGCATTTCCCCCAAGAAAGTATAAATAACAATGTGAAATACACTGATATATTTTCATATTTCTTCAGAATATGCTTAAGTATTGTAATTGAGATACATTTGTGTATCTAATATATCTAAGCAAACTATTGTAAAAAACTTTCAAAATCTTTACTAACAATTTAAAAAGTTCAAATACACCAACTGTATATTTAATTAGTCATAACAAGAACAGCATGTTTTGCTTTGACAAAGAATATCAATCAATAATCATGAAATTCTTCTAGTGGCTGTGTGGGAATCATGCAAGACAATGCTCAAGTATACAAACCTGCAAAGTTCCAAACTCAACTATTTGCCTAAATTCCTAGATAATGTATAGGGGAATAGTGAGGGCACATCAATTCAATACAATATGCCTAAATTAGAGTGAAGTGTCACACTGGACACTCAATTTTCATCTGTGTAGTGAAGCATGTGACAAGATGATGTGAAATTGCTGAAATCCTCTTTAACCTTGACACTCAACATCAAGACAACACAAGAATAATGGATGCCGAGGAAAGGGGTCCAGAGGACATCCATTGCTTGTGGAATTGTTGTCAAGATGGATCACTAGCTCAAGAAAGGAGCATGGTTAGGGAAGGAGGAGAGTTTTAAAAAAACTCCTCTGCATTTATCTTTTTCACACCTGTACTGCAGTGCCATTTTATGGAAAACTGTGCTACAAATGGTAAAAACAAATCCAAATAAAGGAATAGCTGCATTGTTTTCTGACTTAGTTGATCTTCGCAGAAACAATGTTCAGGAAAAGAACTGCCTTGTTTCTATAATCTGGAAGAGAGTTCATAAAAAGAAATCATCCCAAGTTACTGCTTGGAAGCTGAAACATGTGGATGCCTAATGACTAAAATAGTCAGATTTGGCAGTGTTGACTATTGTGGTTAACAGTTTGACAACACTATCCAGGTATGTGGTCATTTTGACAAAGTGAATGGGTATCCCAGTGGCAGTCACTGCCTTCAGAAAAGATGGTGAGCATAAAAGAAATAAATTTCCACGTACTGTCTTTTGCCATCATTTGCATAATATTCTTACTATGAGCAACTGTTCAAAGTAAACAAAGATGGATCATAATAGTTTCAGGTAGAAAACAGAAACTCCTGAATACAGTGTGAATAAATTGATATATTCTTTATATTCAAGACAATACCAAACTGAGTCAACCACAATCTTTTGAATGTTAATATAGTTATTAACATAAAGATAAAAGCTATTTGGTCATTTTCAAGGGTCATTGGACCTGAAATGTTAATTCAGATTTATCTCCATAGATACTGTCAGACCTGCTGAGACTTTACAGCAATTTGTCTTTTTGTTTCAAATTTTCAGCATCCGTAATTCTTTCAGATTTTTTAAAAAGCTACTTGGTACTTTCTGTACGTGCATCCACTAGGTACAACTGTTCTATATAATCCATTTCTCAAGGTACTGTAGATTTTCCATTTAACTCCTATCAACATCAAGCTAAACTCCTTAAAATGTTCTGTAATATAATCCCTACTCTTACTTCAAATCAGATATTCACCCAGCTTTGAAAGTACTAACTGACATAATGTTTATTGTTTTGTATCACAATCTATTTAAAATGCAGAAATGCTACAAATTTAGGCAAGAATTCTTATTCTTCTACTCTTCAGTCTACACTCATAGTTCACAGAATTCTGATTCCATTTACATTAATCATTCTTTTCAGCATTTGAAATATTTGAAGGATTTGCCATATCCATTTTACTTCGGCTCATGAAGACTTTGCAGCTTGGAGTCTGAAGTCCTAAAATAACACCATTGCTATCTTCTGAATACTCTCCAAATAGTCAGTGTTGAATATCATAAGAGTTTAAGTATTACAGCCTGTGGGCAAACCCTGAATTCAAAGATCACTTTCTTTAACTTGTATCTTCATAATCATTTAAAAGAAAGTGGTATATCAGTCACGTTGCAAATCAATATACCAAACATTGTACATGCACAAATCAGAAGTTTCCATTTTGAACAGAATTTATGGCAATAATGCAGCTTTAATAACGTTCAAGATTTGAAAGATTTCTTTTAAAAACACATGCTCATTGACAGTGAATACTATCCCAAAAATTAATAAAATGCTATCACATTTTCTACTTGCCATGTAATGCCAAAATACTTGTGCAGTACTATTTAAAATGTTAGTGTTTTTCATTACTACACTGAACAACAGCCCACTCGGTCAGTATTATGTTTGAGCTCAAAGCTAATTGTATGCCGGACTTCTATAGACTTTGAAGCAACCTTTAACCATTTGACCTTTATCAAAACATCCACACAAATTAAGTCAAATTGACTTTTGAGAATCAGATCAATTCTCAGCCAGTATGCAGGACAGCAAAAGTCATTGGTTTTTTTTCTAAAAGACTAATTGCAGGGGTGTACGATTTTGTTCTTCAATATTTTCAGTGAAAACAAAATGGAAAACTCTTATTGGACTGCTCTTTTATTGAATCAACATGATCTCCATTTAAAATGCAGTTCATTGTGGCTTGTGAAATCGCAGCCACGTTCCTCTGCTAAAACAAAACAACCAAGTAGGTATTCCCATATCAGAAAGAAAAACCATTTTTAAACCATTAAGCTAGAAACTCCTTGGACTAGTTCAAAGCAATAACATCTTGCACTTAAGATATTCAAGCATCCCAAGGGTCTTCAGGATTGCAATCAGGTAAACATTGATGATGTCAAAGGAGATGTTAGGACATATGACTAATGGTTATAGAGGTAGGATTTTCAGAAGCATCTTAAAGAAGTAAAGGTCCCTAAGAAGAAATTCAGCGCATTGTGTCTTCAAGTGTACACATCCAATGACTAATGGAGAGGAAGGCAAAATCCTTTTATTTGTTCTTAGGATGTGGTCTTTACTGACAAAGCCAGTATTCAACCACCATCTTTAATTGTTTTTCGGAAGGTGATGGTCACACATCCTTAAACCACTGTAGTCTGTTATAAATACTCCCAATGCTGTTAGGTAGGGTGTTCCAAGATTTTGGTCCAATGATGAAGGAGGAATAGTGATCAACTTTCCTTGTCCTCCTAAGCAATACAGGTGCAGTTCAGGAGTTGCTGTTGAAGGCAGCTGAGCAAGTCATTGCAGTGCTACTTGTAAATAGTAAATATTGCAGCCTTTGCACACAAACAGCACATAAATCAACCATGAAGGAGGAAGCTCTTTTGTGAAGCAGTTAAAGATAGCTGGCTGAGGACACTGTCCATAGGAAGTCTATTGTGGATACCCTGACAATGAAATGATTGGTCACCAACAACAATGTCCATCTTCTGTTTTGCTCAGTTAGGACTCCAGGCAGTAGACAGTGTTTACTGATTGCCACCAGTTTAATTTTACTGGGCCTCCTCAATGCCATACTCAGTCAGCTGCCATTTTAATGTCAAGAGCAGTCACTCTTATCTCGGAAATTCAATTCTTTTGTCTTAAGACTGCAATATGGGCTGGAGTTGTGTGCTTCTGGCAGAGCCCAATCTGAGTATCAATAAGTGATCAGTGAGTAAATGATGCTGATAGTACGGTGAATAACACCTTTCATAACTTTGCTAATATTCAAAGTAGTCTGTTGAGACAGTAATAGGCCGAAATTGAATTTCCCCCTGCATTTTGTAGACACAAACCTGAGCAATTTTCCATTTGTCAGGTAGGGGTCCATGGACAGTTATTAGAATAGTTCAATTACAGGCCAGAGGCAATCAGTGCCCATAGCCTTTGCTGCATCCACTGCACTGAGTGTTTACTTGATATCACATGAAGCGAATTGAATTGAATTAGCTGAGATTTAACATTTGTGATGATGGAGATCTCAGGAGGCCAAATAAATTATCCATTCAGCACTTCTGGGTGAAGATGATTATGAAGATGTTTATGGAATCTGGGTATTGTTGGCTAGGTTGACATTTATTGCTCATGCCCTGTTGCTCCAGAGAACTTGAGTGAGTTGCATTCTTCAACTGCTTTAGTCGGTGTCTAGGGATACCCATAGTGCTGCAGAGAGTTGCATGTTTTTGACCTAGCAACAGTGAAGGAACAGGATAAAGTTCCAAGTCAGAACGGTGCTTGACTTGGAGGAAACTTGCAGATGGTGGCATTTCCTTGCCCTGCTTTTGAAAGGTACTGTCAAAGGAGCCTTGATAATTTACTGCAGTGCATTTTGTTGATGGTACATACTGCTGACACTGTGCATAGGTATTGAAGGTAATGGATGGGGTGCCAATTAAGTAGACTGCTTTAGCCTAGACCCTGCAGCCAGGAACAGTGCTCATTCTGGAATTGTACCCATCCAGGTAGTTGAGGGAGAGTATGCCATCACACTCCTGACTTGTGCCTTATGGACTGGCATTGGGGAGACAGAGGGTAAATTGCCTGCTGTAGAATTCCAGGACTCTGACCCGCTTTTGTAGACAGTGCGTTTATAAGCTTAGCCCAGTTCAGCTTCTGGCCAACGATCACCTCAATTGATGAGGGTGGGACATTCAACAATGGTAACGCCATTGAAGATCAAGGCTCAATGGTTAAATTCTGTCTTGTTGGAGATGATCATTTGCTGGCACTTGAGTGATGCAAATGTTCTTTACCACTTATTACCCAAGCCTAAATGACACCCAGGCACTGCTGCATTTGGACACAGACTGCTTTAATATCTGAGTCGTCTCAAACAGTGCTCAACATTGTGCAATCATCAGTGAACGTACAGAAGATGGTTGTACCTCTGACACCACCTTCAGGAACTCCTGCACGGATATCCTTGAATGGAGGTGATTGACTTCCACCAACCACAATAAACTTCCTTTGAACTTGGTCTGACTGCAAGCAACAGAGTTTTCCCCTCAAATCTCATCGACTCAGAGACCTAGGGGTTCAGGTACATAATTCTTTGAAATTTGCCTCATAAGTAGACAGGGTGGTTAAGAAGGCGGTTAGCACTCTTGCCTTCATTGCTCAGACCTTGAGTATAGGAATTTGGATGTCATTATGAGGTTGTACAGGACGATGGTGAGGTCTCTTTTTGAGTACTGTGTGCAGTTCTGGTCACCCTGCTATAGGAAGTATATTATTAAATTGGAGAAGGTTCAGAAAAGATTTACCAGGATGTTGCCAGAAATGGAGGGTTTGAGACATAAAAATAGGCTAGGACTTTTTTCACTGGAGCGTAGGAGGTTGACGTGTGCCCTTATGGAGGTTCATAAAATCATGAGGGGCATAGAAAAAGTGAATAGCAAGGGTCTTTTCCCTAGGGTGGGGGAATTTGAAATTGGGGGCATATTTTTAAGGCGAGAGGATGTTTTAAAAGGACATGAGGGGCAACTTTTTTTTTTTTTAAAAACCCAGTGGTTCATGCATGAAATGAACTGCCAGAGGATGTGGTAGCTGCAGGTACAGTTACAACATTAAAAGATATTTTGGTAAGTACATGAATAGGGCCAAATGCAGACAAGCGGGACTAGTTTAATTTGGGAACATGGTTGATGTGGACTAGTTGGACCGAAGGGCCTGTTTCCATGTTGTATGACTAGGACTCCAGCTTTACTTGAGATCCTTAATGACACACAGTTAAATACTACCTTGAAGTCAGGGGCAGTCACTTTCTCCTCAACTCTGAAGTGCATCTCTTTGTCCATGTTTGGACCAAGGCCATAATGAGGTTAAGAGATGCGTGGTCATGGCAGTATGGAAACAGAGTGTCAGGGAGCAGGTTACTACTCCCTTGCAAGTGCTGGTCACCGTTTCCATCACTTTGATGATTGAGAATAGACTGACAGGTTTGCAATTAGCAGGGTTGGTTTTCTGCTGATTTTGATGGACAGGACATACCTGGGGAATTTCCCATAATGTTGGATCAATCTAATATTGTATTGTACTGGAACAACTTGGCTAGGGGCACGGTTACTTCTGAAGTATAAGTTTTCAGTATTATTGATGGAATGTTATCAGAATCCATAAATTTTGCAGTGCCTTCAACCACGAGCAGAGTCAGAAAAGGTCTCTAGCACTGTAAAAGGCCTTGCAGCCCATCAAATCTGCGCCGATCAAAAACAAGCACCTAGCTATTCTAGCCCCACCTGCCAGCACTTGGCCCGTAGTCTTGCATGCTTTGGCATTATGCAAATACACAACTAAATATTTAAATAGTATGAGGATTTCTGCCTCTCCCACCCTTAAGAGCAATGAATTCCTGACTCCCAGCATCCACTGGATGAAAAAAAATGTTATCATATCCCCCCTAAACCTCCTGGCCCTAAGCTTAAATCTATGATCAGTGATCCCTCCACCAAGGGGAAAAGTTCCCTCCTGTCTACCCTCTATCCCTCAATCTTATACATCATTTTTAGCTTCCTCTACTCCAAGGAAAACAACTCTAGTCCATCCAATTTCTTCACAATTAAAACTCTCCAGCCCAGGCCACATCATGCTAAATTTCCTGTGCAATCACATTCCCTCTATAATGTGGATTCCAGAACAGCGCACAATATTCTAGCTGTGGTCTAACCAACATTTTATACAGTTCCAGCATAGCCTCTTGCTCTTAAACTCCATGTCTCAGTTAATAAAGGCAAGTATCCCATTTGCCTTCCTATCTACTTTGTCTATCATCCTGCGCACCTTAAGGTGCTCTTGATAACATGTGGAATGAACTAAATTGGTTTAAGACTGGAATTTGAGATGTTGGGAACCTCAGGAAGAGGCCAAAATGGGTTGGCACTTCTGCCTGAAGTTGGATGCAGATTCTTCAGCCTGTTTAAGCATTTAAGTCCTGTGTTATAGTTTCACCCAGTTGGCAACTCCGCTTCAGGCATATCTTGTACTGTTCCTAACATGCAGTCGTACACTCTTCATTGAAGTGGTCCCCTGATTTGGTGCTAATGGTAGAGGACATGGTAAAAAAAATAAGGTTGCAGATTATGTCGGAACGCAATTCTGCTGCAAATGACAGTTCACAATAACTGATGGAAATCCAGTTTTGACCTATTGTAAATATTCAGAATCTATCCCATTTGGGACAGTGATAGGATGTACTGAGTGTGAAGACAGGACTTTGTCTCCGCAAGGACTGAAATAATCACTTCATCCAACACTGTCGTGGACTGGTGCATCTGAAATAGATAAACTGGTATAGGACCAAGTACATTTTCCCATTATGTTTGTTCCCTCACCACCTACTGCAGATCTATTGTGTCAGCTTTGCCCTTCAAGACAGAGTAAGCTAAGTCAGTGGTGGTGCTACCAATCCACTCGATGACGGACAGAGATGTTCATGAACCAGAAGACTTTGTTCCAAGTAGTGATGAGCATGGAAGAAAACTGGGGCTTCAGCTGGCAGAGCACAAGAAGGGACAATCAATAGGATTCTCCTTGCCCATATTTAATGTGAAGCCATAAGATTTTGTGGGGTGCAGATTCAAAAATGACGACTTCCATAGACATCCTTCCCTGACTGGATACAATTGTGCCACATCATCTGCTGGGTCTGTCCTTCATTTGAGATAGAACATACCCAGGGATGGTGATGGAAGAGTCTAGGGCACTGAGTGAGAAGCATATTTCTCTGAGCAAACCTATGTTCAGCTGATATTCTATTAGTCTGTGGTACAGTTCTCAATTTTGGCACAATTCCTCAGATGTTTGAGGAGGACTTTGCAGAATTGTGTGGACTAGTGTCCCTTTGTAGTGGCCAAATCTGATGCCTAACTGATGGCAGGCAATCCTTCAGGTTTTATTCATATTACACTGCGTCAGAATTGGGGCGTTAGGCAAATGAGAGGGCAGTTTGGTGTCAACCATATTGCTTGTGGTTTGAAGACTTAACTGGTAAAAGTGGGAGATATCCTTCTCTAAAGGTCATTAGTAAACAAGATGGGATTTTACGAGAGTAAATAGTTTCACAATCATCAAGACTGTTATTCATTTTTCATTCCAGATTTATTTAACTCACTGCATTTAAATTTCTGATCTAGGAAATGGAATTTGAACTCATTTTCTTGAAGTTTTGAAGGATGAAAGATTACAAGGATGGTGGCAATGAAGGGATCTGAACACAATGAAATGTTCTATTTAAGATTCCGATCTGTGGTTGCTTGTAGTCCACCAATGAGCAAGAGAATGATGGTTAATTTGGTACAAGTGGGGAGACAGGTAAGAGCATTTAAGATGGAACGGTGTAGAACACTGAATCTGGCAGAAGATATAGGTGAAGATTTCAGTGGTAGATGGACTAAGGCAGGGTGAAGATGCGCAAAATTATTGAAGTAGAGGTAGTTTGCCTTGGCAATGAGCAGGGTATGGGTTTGGGACCTAGCTCTGGTCAAGAACAACTCCAAAGGTTGAAATAATTATGGATCTGCCTGGCCAATGTTCTGGACTGGGAATTACATCAGTGGCGAGGAAATGGAGTTTGTAGTGAGGATTTGCAGAATGATTGAAATTAGGGCAACCAGTATACTCTTTTGTAGCTCTTTCATGGGTTAGTGAGGCCTGTGAAAACAGAGAAAATAAAAGAAGAATAAAGTAGGAACAAAAACAAAGTTGCTGGAAAAGCTCAGCAGGTCTGGCAGCATCTGTGAAGAAAAAAAATCAGAGTTAATGCTTCAGGTCCGGTGACCCTTCCTCAGACCCGAAACGTTGACTCTGTTTTTTTTTCTTCACAGCTGCTGCCAGACTTGCTGAGCTTTTCCAGCAACTTTGTTTTTGTTCCTGATTTATGGCATCCTCAGTTCTTTCGGATTTTATGAAGGATATAGTAGCTTGTCCAAAATGCTTAAGTGTAACAATGCATCTCCAAGTCAATCCAGTTTGAAAACAGGGCAACCATACGTCCATGCTTATTAATGCAAATTAGCATGTGCACTCCACAATTCCTCATCTGTTGTAACTTGATCATATCTTTAGTGAAATAGGTCCTGGAGGAAACTTGAGGAAATTTTCTTGATAATGAAGACGGTACTTTAAGTTTGGAGTGTGTGAAGTGGTATTTATTTGCACAAAGTATTTACCTGGGTACCTTTGTTCAAAAAATTGTTTTACTTCTGATTTAATCAAAAAAATTACTGGGCACAACTGACCATGCAGATGACCTATTGTCATAACACACTGGTACAAAAATATATTGCTTATGGTAGAACGTGGGCTGATATTTGACTCCAGAATAGCAATGCCCAGTTTTAAGAAAGATCTTCAGGAAAACGCTCTGCTTAGGCAATTTTTTGAGCAAATGAGGGACAAACTGAAAGTTATGTTAGTGTCAACATCTCTCATACACTCTCATCAATGGGTTAAACAGAACCATTAGGAGCAGCTAAGGAGCAGACTGTATTTGCTCACTCAGTTAAGGCAGGGTGCACGGATTAAGACCTAAAAGTAAGGACATATCAGAAACACATTTCCTTGATAAAAAGGATGTTTGGTTATTCAACGCTTTGAGATCTGATATTGCCGAAATTTAATTCTAAAGTGTACCTGACGCTACTAAAACAGGAAAAAAACTTCATATACTGGTAGACGTTTTCTTCGGTAGGGTCAAGCATTATAATAAAGTTAATCATACTGACTTATAACCAGTTTTGGGTACATGCTGATAAACTGAATGGAGTTCATCAAAACAGTGAAATCCATTACCCTAGTGTCTTCTAACTCCCTCTGGAGTTTTTCAGCTTTGGTCTTTTCAAAGAGCAGGCTTTGTTCAAGCTCCTTAATGCGGGCATGCTCCAGTTTGGTCTGCGTCTGTTAGTAAAAAGGGAGAGGAAGAGAACACACCAGTGCCACCATCACATGCCAGCACGACAGGAGGGAGCCACATGCAGGCTTATCCACCAGCACCTTCTGCCTTTTATAACAGTTAGGAAAGCAAAAGGTAAATTGGACACAAAAACAAGAATGGAAGGAAACAGAAATGTTTAATGAAAAATTGTACCAAAGGTACAGAGGAAAAGATAAATGGGGAATTAAAAAAGGAAATACAGTTTTAAAAAGGCAGATTCAAGTTTCATGCAGACAGTGTGTAGTTTTAAATACCATCATAGTTCAAATCAGAACAGTTAATACTCAAATTTAGTTTAATACTGTAAACCCCTTTGTGTTTGAAATATAATTAGTTTAACTGAACCAAAATCAGATTTGAAATTACACTGAAGGTAACACATTTTAAGAGCAGAGAACAAGAACAAACTTGTTTTACTTGTTACTTCTAATATCAATTAAACTTTTTGTCCGTCATTGGGTTATATTATAATTAAAAGTATATTTCTCAGAACATTTTTGTTTGTAGAAGAGGAGTTTTCAGTGCACCCGAGTTTGGAGTTGGTCATTTGTGCACACAATTGCAAAAAAAAATGAAACTAGTCACATGCCTCCCTGTGAAGTCTACAAAAAATTGTATCAGCACTTTTCAAGAAACAAGCAATGGGGATTAACTGGCCATGATTGTGTCCAGAATATCCTTTACAGCCTCAATTGATATAGGCTTTCTTTTACAAGCTCGGATTTCACACACAGATCATTGCCCAAAGGCACACTCCAGAGTTCAAATGACAACGATACAAAGCTATTGTTTACCTCAAATTACTTTGTAAACATTCCTTGTGCAGTAGGGTGATTATTTCGTAATCATTTGATAGGGTATGAGAACACAAGACACCGAAGCACCATGCCAGTCAGCCGGCCATTTGAACCTGCTCCACCATTCGATAAGATGACTACTGAACGGATTATGGCCTTAACTCCACTTTCTTACCTGTTATCCATAATGCTAAATTCCCTTGTCAAATCAAAAAAAAAAATCTGTCCGACTGAGCCATGAAAATATTCAATGGCCTAGTCTCACTATTCTCTATGGAAAAGAATTTCAACGACCAACAACTCAGATGAAATTCCTCATCTTTAATTTAATTGAGACACCCATTATTTTGAAACTCAGCACTTAATTAGATTCTGCCAAAACAGAAAACATTCTCTCAGCATCTACTCTTTCAAGTCCCTCTGAATTTTACAGTCTTTCAATAAGATCATTTAAGATCAACCTCCTCATAGAACACCCCTTTCAACCCAGGAATCAGATGAGTGAATCTTCTTTGAACTGCTTCCAATGCAAGTACATCCTTTCCTGAAAGTCAGCAAACTGTACATTGTGCTCTAGGTGGTATTGCTAATTCCCTGTACAGCTGTAGCAAGAAGTTCCTACTTTAATTCTTTATTCCCTAGAAATAAAAGATCAACAGACTATTTGCTTCCTTAAATGCTTGCTTTAACGGCATGCTAACAATTCATGATTCACGTACAAGAACAGTCCATCCTCTGCACCACTGCATTTTGCTGTCTCACACTATGTAAATAATATTCTGCTTTTCAATTTTTCCTGAGAAAGTGGGCAAGTTCATATTTTCCCACATAATACTGCATCTGCCAACTTACTGCCTGTTACATAACCTATCTACATCCCATTACAGACACTTTGTAGCCTCTTCACAACTTGCTTCCCTACCTTGTCTCAGCAGCAATTATGACTACAGTACAGTCAGTCCCTTTATCCAAGTGATTAACTTAGATTATAAATTAGTTGAGGGTCCAATTTTGAGACCTGTGGCAACCCTCTAATTATAGGTGAAAAAGACCCATCTTTCCCGATTATTTCTTCTGTTAGATAGCCAATCATGTAGCCATGCTAATATCATTCCCAACACAAGTTCAGAATAATTTGCTGAGTTCCTAAGACAATTCCAAAATCCCTTAATAATTTTAATACTGAAAGATTTCAGCTGTTTCAAAGTCGTCAGCTTCTCTTGCCGGCAAAATAGAAAATCCAATATAAGAATGCTGGTGATAAGCTGAAATTCCACACTGATAACTTCAGATCAATAACACATCCAAACTTGTTGCATGGATGTGCCAAGCAATCAGAGCATTGACAAAAGTGCGTGGAATAATCAAAACTGAATGAGTTATCATGAGACATTAAGATCTCTATGAAAAGGCATGCAACTATAGCTGAACCTGTGGGAAAAGGTGAAGTTGATACATCAAGTTGAAGACCAGGGTGCAAAGTAGACAGCATACATTGTGACAGACTGGAAGATTCCCATATTAAGTTTGTCCACCATTCTGAAACACAGTGTAACATGCCAGAACAGCTGACTGGTAGGTAATCTCTCCCTTGCTAGAATGAAGCACAACTCCCTCTCCCAACACTAAAGAAGCTCTCCAAACAGGGTTCAAGACAGACCAAACAGGGAATGCTCCCCATCTCTGGCCCAATCCTGCTGGAAAAAAGGAGTTCCTTGGGTAAAAAAGCTGGGTCACACGGAGTTCATCTGTAGTGACAATTTACTGATCTGTTTCAAGACAAGGCATAGTCTTTCACTCAATAAGCAATGAGATAGGACAATTATGGTAGCAATAACAAATTATTGCCTTCAAAATGGTCTCACTCAAAAACTGAAATAGTATGCAAAGGGGTCTTTAGTATGGTTGACTGTTTAACTGACAACCACCAGACCACTCTTTGATGTTTAATGGCGAAATGTGCAAAGGTGGTAAACAAAGCAACAAACAGGTTATTGTTATGGCCTGCACCACTAATGGCATTGAATAGCTGAAATTCTTGCGGTAGTAAGACCAAAAAGTCACGCTGCTTCACAAATGTCAAGACACGGCTCATGCAGTAGGAGGCTAACAAGACTGCATGAATGACCTCCAGCATTTTTGAGGCAGGGATTGAGAAAGTGGACAATAAGCATCAATGAAAGACAAGGAAGACCATCATTACAGACAATTGCCCATACACTGTGATATCTCTGGCCTCAGGAGCATTAAATTGATGTTCACGCTTCATAACACAACAGCCAAGGTCCACTCAATCAGATGGTGATTATATATCTGAAAAACCACTACCACTGGGCCAGGGAAGGCTCTCCACAGAATTTATATGACTCGTACAGTCATAGATGTCAGGTATTTACCCAGGTCTGGTCAATTATCAAAACTTTAATGGGATTTTCAATCATAATATTGCAGGGTAAGAGAAAATTCACATCAATTGAGTGATTTCTAAAGATTGCTTTATGCAGGAACTTCTGCAATACACTACACAGAGGAGCATTCACCGATTACCTCAATTTCTGATCTCAGCTAAAAACTTCCCAGTCTCACTATTGCAATATCATTACAATCAAAACCATCATCATTACTGGAGTAAATAAAAGGTTAGCAGGTTTTCTTTTCAATGTAACTAGTAATTTCTTCGAGACAGTATACATGGTGGTATATCATCTCACCAGTTATACTTGCCCAAAGTGAGCAGCTGCAGAATTGAGGCCCATGATGCAGAGAAGGCTAAAAAATAAAAATGGTGTCTCCTTGCAAATTTCACAATAGCGTACAACAGTGGAGTGGTAGATCAGAAACGAGGAAAGATAAACCAACAACCAATAATCACATTACAAGGGAGCCCACACCAACTATGCACTTGAAATCTTATGGGAGGCACGGAACAGTTCTAAAATTTCTCCTTGAATTGATGAATCAAAACTCATGCTTCTGTACAAATCTCAAAAATGAAGGAGAAATATGCTAACACATAATTTTTACTTCGCTTTTACAAAGCACGAGTTAAATATCTAGGTATTATTTTTAAAATGAAGGGGTAATAAATTGTACTGAAAGTGATGCTTAAATGGTAGATCGATTTTAAGTAACAGATGACAAACAAATAATGATAACAATCCTGTTTTTGATTAGGGGTTTACAGCATAATCACTCATCACAAATACTGCTTTTCATTCTTTGCAGCTGTGAAAGCAACATGCATATCAGTAGGTCAAGTCTGAGAAATCAGTCAGTACAGTTAGTTCTGCAATTTGTTCCAAAGTAGTATTTTGAATTGCTCTGATTAGAAGC